AGTTGATGAAACAAATATATCAGGATTCTCCTTTAAAGTCATCATTTTGTAAGTTCTATGGTCGATTAAATGACCTTGTCAGCAAATACAATTTATCATTGAGTCAAATGCTGACGGACGTTTTTCATACTAATTGTTAGTTCATCATTTATATACTGTATTGGATGTTTCCGTTATTCCCCGATAATGACAAGAAGCACACGGAGGCTGTGGCCGGTCAGCAGGGGATGCTTGCACCTCCATGGGACCTGATCCCACCTCTGATGTTTCGGAGGTCCGTGTTTGCTCTGCTCCTAATTTGTATTGTTTTATGGACTTTGAGATTGAATACTGTTCGTTATCTCAATATCCTTCTTCAATTCCTAAAAATATTAGGTTTCAGAAAATTGCAGGTTTCAGAACTTAAAAAATCTATTTTTATGGAGAAAAATAAAAGTAAAAATAATTTCAGTATGTCCCATAACGAAAATCTCTCAAAATACTCTATGACTTATAGTATTCCTCCCTATTGTACACGTGCGCAGAAAAGTTGAATAAGTTTCCATAGTTACCATGGTCTCAAGTATCTACGAATGAATGTACGTAGATCAGAAAATTATATGTAATCTTTAAAAAAAAAAAGCTGTTAAAACATATTTCTCACAATACCATGCTCCAGCTGAATGTGGTTTACAATTTTGAGCTAAAAACATAAGAGGTGTGACCTTGACATACACGAAACAACGAAACGGTAGATATACATCCTTTGTTTTACGGCACTTAATGTATACAGGGAAAGATTCACCCTCGTTTTATTTTCGTCCCTTTCGCCCTCTTCTTGATTGGGCGAATTTAAAACGGGGCGAATTCAAATTACACAGCATATTTTCTTAAGCAGAACTATGACTGGGCGAATTTAAAACGGGGCAAAATTAAATTGTTTGCAAGTGCAAAAGTGCGAAAATAACAATGGGCGAAAATGACCCTGTATACAGTATACTGTGCAGTCTTTTCATGCAGTTTAATAGTCATCTCTTAGTTATATATAGAAAGATATGATTTTGACTCATTGTGTCCTTTTAATCAATTTTGTGCCATTCAAGTTACCTATATCCTCCACAGATGATAAAAAGGATTGCGGTAATCATGAAAGTTGTCAATGTGCAGTCCCTGCATCATCTAATAATTGCAAGTGTTCGCATAATTTGCCTATACGCCCAAAATCTGTCATCACATTATTTATTACTCTCTTATCAAATTGACCTTTTTAAGAAGTATTTTCATTAATTTGTGTTTCTGTACAAAGAAAATCGCAATATTATTTTCAAAACTGTTTTTTAAATTTGTTTTTCTTATGTTATGAATGAACGGTAAATCAAAGTAACGCAGCACAGCTAAGGTTACAGTAAGGAGGCGGGGCCTAATTTGTACGGGAAATGTTTACTATGACGTCACGCATAATATCAGGTCTTCAAAATACCACAAAATGAAATTATTTGCTATTTCAAGCAGCTGGATAGCTGTATACTACATACAAACTTACTATTACATGCAGTTTTGTCGTTTATTAAATCCCACACAACAGTATATAAACGATGCATCGATCGCAATGCGCTTGTCAATGTGACGTCATCTCGCAAAAATGACGCAGTTTTTACACAGTCAGAGGCTGATCAAGTCACATTTTTTACAATGAAAAATGTCTTTTGTTCTCAAATAAAAAATTATTTGCGGTAAAATAAAAAGCCATTAACTTGGATGCGATGTTTATTTTAGTATTTTATTCATAAACTGTACGTGCATTTATCAGACAAGCGATACTGTCGTGTGTTTGTATGCAGATTCATTGAAAAAGTAATGGAAGGGCCCTTATAAATCGATTTATTGCAAGGGCATACCCTCAATGTATCTTGTCAAAATTTTACACATAAACTCAAGAAGCATTAAGATATTTGAAAAGTGCTGCGAACCTCTTGAAATCTTGCAAATAAATTAATTATAGCTATATTTAATGTAGTTGACCAGCAAAATATTCAACCTGCCGTCCAACAAATTAAATTTTACCAATTAAAAAAGGGAATCTATATAGGTTCGCAGCACTTTTCACAAACTACATATAGTGTTGAAAAGGATTATAAAATAAACTAAGATTTTTAGCTTGGTTAAGCCCTTGCAATATTGAAATTTATAGATGACCTCTAAACTTCAAGTATAATTGCCAAAGTCAATTGACGTCGACATCAAATGACAAGTTTAAATAAAAAATCTAAATGTCCCCAACATGTAGATTTTAACCACATTACATTTTTTTGATATCAGTGAATTCCTAAAAAGATTCGCCCATCCTCATAAAGTATGTATTTTTTATCTTAAAAAATCGCCGATATTTCCATTTGTAACCTTAACTGTGCTGCGAAAGAATGTTTTTTCTTGCAATATTTATTATTTAATAAAAAATATGTACATTTAAACTCAACAATGAATGGTATAATATAATACAAAGAATATTTTTCTGGAAATTTCCATTATCCAATAAAAAATATTAATTCCTCTAAAGGTATTTTCTTCACATCAGTCTTGAAAAATCTAATTATTTGTCCTTTTTGTTTTCATTATCCAATTCAAAAATATTAAGTCAACTTATTTATATTTTTATTTTTAAATGAATCATGGATTCAGAGGAATTAAAGTAGAATTTCTGTACTTTTTTTTAATTATCCAATAATTCATGACCTTGTATATCTCTATAGTTGTTAAGTCTGTTGTAACAGAACGTTTTGATCCCTTCATTTTTATTTATTTGGGTAAATAACATAATTCGTTCTTTTTAAAAAATAATTCCTAATTTGAAGATAATTCGGCCGGGCCAATTTATCAAAATTTACATACCCCGGACCAAGTTTAAAAATGGTAGGAAAACCCTTGCAGTGCTAGGGACCAATCATGCATTTAAGCTTTTCAATGCTGTATTGGTTTTTGCTTTTTCCTAAGCCAAAGTATTCTCTCGACTTGTAGCTCATAGTTTTTTTTTTTATCATAGTCTATTTATTAACTTTATTGCATCCCGGAGGACCGGGCTGCTCTATACATATAAGTTTAAGTGTTGGTGTATGGGGATAGGGGTGGGGTGGTTATTTAGAATGAAAGGTTTTCTAAACATTGAAAAGATTGTTAATCAGAATATTCTTTCCCTCTATAAATTACGAAATACATAATATATTTGCTTCCATAAAGTGAATCTTTAAAAATATACATGTTTTCATATTTAATATATATAGTTGCTTATCATTTACTATCGAAAAAACAACAGGTCACTTTTTTAGAACACCGAATTTTACTTCTCGCATAAAAAAGTACTCTGCACAGTTCGTGTTTTATATTCTAAAATTGATACATTTTAGAATATAGGTGATGCATGTGTCTTCAATTTATATTTTATGCAGCCAATATTTACTCGAGGAATTTAAATTTAAAATGGTATCGTTTTTGTTTGACATTTATCCGACCATAAGTTTTCAAAATATTCGCCTATCGTCTCCATCAATTAGACGCATACCTTTTTACACATATCGAAGCGGTTTGATGATCAAGACTCATTTCCATTGTTTACTTTATTTACTACATATTTCCCGGGCGACAATTGATGGTTACATCAATGTTTTCTTGTAATACATGTTATAAAAACAGACAGGAAAGAAAATATGATATCAGAAGAGGATATGTAAATGATAATATCTATCGGGTGAACTCTTAAACATATCTGACATTTAGGAAATTGAGAGATTTAATTTACAAAGGATCACTTCATCATAAATAGGGATTTGACCTATAGGACCGGGCTTGGTTTTATTCTCTACAAAAAGCTTGTCGATTTCCGTTCTTATTAATTACATTAGGCTGAATAATATAAAAAATTGTTTTTTCCAAAACCTTTATTTCAGTGAGTAATGGTAGAAAAAACCCTTTCATTGATTTTCTGAGTTTGTTATCTCCAAATGTAATAATTGATATTTTCCTTTACTTCTCATTGTACATAATGGTAATGTCTTCTGTTTCTGAAATTCTATTTTTCATGTCTAGGCTTTTTATCCGTGGATATCATAAAACATGCCATTAATGAGTGAAAATTATATAGGCCTAAATGAAATCCAAGGGAAAGCAGTTACTGATATAAATTATGTAGCCAAAGTCAATATGATTAAACTGTAAGGAATATATACAATTGAAATTCATCGCAGCTCAATGCTGCCAAGAATACCTGTATTGAGTAACACAAAGTGAGTTATTCTTGTCCTCGGAGGAAATATTCTTATATTGTTCCGCCTGACTTACAACTGTACATTGGATTGTAACGATTTGATCTCTCTTTAGTGTTTCTTATATCGAGAATGGGCATGCATAAAGGATAGATAATTGAAAGAAAATGTACAAGTCTATAAAAAAAATTAAGATAATCTTTGAAAAGGCGAAAATTAAGAATTTAAAAGTGTTGCACCTGGTTGATTCGTACCCTCGACTTTCAAAAGAAAGTATAGGTATTGTAATAGTCAACACGTTTTTTTCTCTCTTTTATTTTATAGTCAACACATATTAACTGAGCTAGTCTGACTATAAAATCGCATGCCATAAGTTTTAAGCAGATTTTCAAAATCAGGTTTCCTTAGTTTATGTAGGTTTTTTGTGTGAATTTGGACCCAAGAGCAGGGGTGTCCCTAAAAAAATCCTACCTTAAATTATTCTTTACATCCCAACCTATATCAAAATATCATAATTTTATTTAGGGGCAGCCCTCCCTAGAAGGACTATTAGGCCAAAATACATGCAAAAATATTTAAAGCACAAAATGGTGTTTTGGCCAATTTTGGAGGGTCATTGTAAAGTTGTAAATAATATATATTAAATATAAAATACAAATTTGAAAAAATTTACACATATATATGATAAAAAGCATTCAATAAGGTTTAATATTAAAATGTCACCTTTTCCTGGAAATTGTTCTTTCCTATAGGTCAATTCTTTTATCAAAGTGAATACATCATTTCCTGTATTCTCATTCTTGTAGCTGTTTGTATATTGTTGGTTGGTTTTTGTCTGAGAGATTGTTGGTATGAGTATAGAGCAGCCTGGTGGTTCCCCGTCACCTGTTGACAGATCCCCAGAATCTGCCACGATATGTCCCTAGATAGAGTAGGTATAAACCATCCCTGATCATAGTGAACTAGGGTCTGTAGATCATCTAGAGCTGTTTGTACTCTCATTGTGTCTACATGTCTGTAGCACAAGATCTCTAGCATGTATAACAGAATAAAGGGTGGAATATATAATGAAATATTATGATTCTGTCGAGCAGACTGTTGTTCTGGTATCAGTTCATTGATGTAATGGATATCATATTGAAGTATGATATCTATTGCTACGGCCTGTCTCATCCTTGTAGACCAGGACTGCCCCCCTATAACCTCAGTATACATCTCTGTATATATATTTCCGATATACATCACCTTTGGCTGTGCTAACTTAACCTTGATCATCTCAATAATAGATAAAGCTTTAATGTATCTGAGGGTCTTGTAATAATACATCGCTATGTACATCATATCAGTAATACAACCAAACTTGGCTGCTAATTTCAGCATGTGGCAGGACATTTTGTCAACTCTATACCTCAGTTTGTTTTTGTTTGTGTAAGTTTCCATGCGTAATATAAAAGCAGTTCCCCGAAGGACATTAGCTGTAAGTCTCTGTAGCTTGAGGAATTGATACTGTGTCAGGAGGGGTGAACTTATCATATGTTCTATTGTATGTAGATATGTAGTACAGCCTTGTATGTCCAAATTCGAATTCGGTATTGCGTAATCATATATTATTTCAGCATATAGATTTCTATCAAACTCATTCTCAAAATTTAGAGTTTGTTCATCTGTACAGATGGAGAGTTTGGGGATAGGGAGGAAAATTATGATATAAGACCTAATGGAGGGAATGTGTAAGAGGAATGATAAACCCTCCACATACAACCCATGCAATCTAATAAATAGTTCATTTTGTTTGTCGCCATGAATTTTACTCAGAAACATGTTGTTGCCGGGTATAAAAAAGTTTGGACAGACCCCTTCATAAACCCATTTGAGGATGAGCTTAAAGCAGACCCAGAAACACTTTAGGAGATTTTGTGGACACCAGTGCGAAATTATCTTTTGTTGAATCACCCAGAAAACTGCCGTCTTCATGTGATATGAACACAGTAATTTTTCATTATCACTTAGTCCATTGTTAATTATTTCTGATAAGAACAGTTTAAGTAAGCCATATGTTAAGAATTGACAGTGGTTCATTGCATACACAAGTTTTTGTTCTGCCAGAGAGAAAGAAATTCTCCATTCGTGATCTTCATGTCTTCCTAAGCTATGTCCTATTGCTACTAAGTGACATCCATGTTTCACTATATCATTAACAACATGAGACAGTGGCCATGAGTGACATCTGTCTATCCATGAAGAGGCAGATGGAGGCCAAAAGTCATTAGCAAAACAATGGGCATGATCAACTTCTATCATTCCAGCTGTTCGAGTGGCACAGGGTCCATGTGGAGTCGAGTTTAAATGTGATTGGGAACATGTGATTTGTTTGAATTTAGAACTAGATATATAATGTTTATTATTCATTTTAACACAGAGTATCTGGCTGTCTCTTTCCGTGATTGGTGACAGTAAATATAACAAAGTAAATCCTGGTGGACTATCAGAACAGTCACAGAGAATCAGTGGATTTCTCTGTGGGCTGTAATACTGAGACTGAGATAAATCCCATATTACACGAATATCATTTGACCATATCATCATGTCTACATCTGATCCTTCCATTCTGAATCCTTCTCCTTGACTTCCACTCAACATCACAGTCTCCTTCTCACGTTTGCTCACTTGATTTCCCACAGTATCACTGATGTCCATCACATCTCTCCTCATGGCCACCAGTCGTGAGGTCCCTACTTTATGACACATCGCCACAAACACTGACTCTGACATGCGTTGTATAGCTATCTCACTGGCAAATATAAAAGGAGATTTTATTTTCTTGTGTTATAAATGTGCCCGATTTTTGTAAATCAATAATAAAATTATCATCATTGATAAGTTAATGTATTTATGTTTTATTCAAAAAGTTCTAGACATTAAAAACTTTCCTATTTCTAATTGATTTTTTTATATTGAATACTGCCTGTTATCTCCATATCCATCATGCATAAATAATGAAATAAATTATTTTTTCAATTTATTCATTCATTTGTTATGAAAGAGTATATGATTTTTTTTTGAACAGACGTGTTTAATACGTACAATGGTGTAAAAAAGTAACTAATTTTACTGTCAACAAAATGAACTGAATCTGATGAATAGGCATTCTAAGATTTATACATTCTTGTCATTAAACTAAACTTACATTTGTGAACTTCTAATGGAATCCATTTTGATAGGAAAAGTTTAAGGTGCTATAAAAAGTGTATAAAAAATCTAACACACGTATTTCCTGTATATATTATATACATATATTTAGAATATATTTCCTGTGTCATTTAACGACGTTGGATCCTGGTACTAGTATTTAAAATCTAAAACATTTTCTGCGAAGTATAATTTTACTTTCTGTAAGCATAGCTTAATCAAAATTAAAAAATAGGGGCTTCTTCTCTTGGCGCTACAGTGCATTTGATATGACCTTTTTGCACTGAAATTTGCGTCTTAATCAAAAATTACATACTCGATGTTTTCTCTTCAATATCCAATTGAAGCATGAAACAAAATGAATTCTAGTCTATTTAAAAGACACATTAACATTGTGATTAAGAATAACTTTCATATTGCTTCGCATAATCAATTATTTGACCTTTCTGCACTAATAAAATTCTGACATTGAAAATTTAATCAGCAAAAAATTATTTTAAAGTCAAACTTTTTCTGACATGATGCAAATAGGTCAAACTTAACTTAAATATTTAGAAAATAACATCAAAAGTGATGTAAATTTTCAGATATTACTTAAAAGGGTCAATTTTACAGTACAATTGGCTCAATTTTTTCCTGGATTTTCGGAATATATTTACTGTTTTTATTTGTATATATATCTCGATAAATTTATCTATTATTGATCAGTCATTGATGCTAAGAATTTTTATAACTCTAATTTTTTCACCTAGTTCTTCCAGCCTCAAAATCTCTGTTCTAATAAAAGAACAGGCCTCTGTATGATCGTGTAGACATACGTAGTATATCTACTAAATATTTTCTAGAAATAAATAAATAATAAATTTTTAAAAAATAACCACTGTGTTGATACAATCATTTTTTGGTAGCCGATCATACATGGAGTTAAATGTCAACATAATATAAAGAGAAAATAAAGATGACGTGAGGAAATTTGCAAATAGCAACAAAAATGGGTTTGATTTTGTTCAATAATTGTAGAACATAAATCATAGATAAAATTAAAATGAGAAGGGGTGAGATTAAATACATATTTGGAAGCTGTGTAAGTGTATCAAAATTTAGCTTTAAAATGATACAAGGAAGGGGAAGGGGTCAATAATTTAGTTTTGCTACATTGTTTTTCTTTACCTTGAATATCGTATAAAATTGCTGCTTAAAATTAAATTTTAAATATTTTTTTTAAAATTAGCAATAGTACTGTACAAAGTTAAAAAAATACAGTAATACTAACCTAGGCATTAAACACAATAATTAGCAAACAGATAAGTACATACATTTTTGAATATCAACAGATTATTTGTATTTGTGTGTGCGTATATGTGAACAGAAATCAAAAATTTAATGAAGAAAATGACCAGAAAGGGGTTAAGCCAAATTGAATTTACAAATTTTGGTTTGTGCTATAGCATAATTATAATTTTAAAAGATGCCAAAAGGCCAAAAATGTCGGCTAAAATGCCAGTAATTTTGACAGGGAAATCATAAGAAATAATTTTATAGATATTTCAGAACCAGCAAAACACATGTCACTGCAAAAAGAGCTTTAATTTGTGTGCAACCAGCAGGGAATAAATAGGAACCTAAAAATGTTTAATTGAATTATGTTTAATTTGCATCAAATTTAATATCAGAACTTAAGAATGATGCAGAATTTTATAAATAAAGGACAGGACCAAAATCCGCTCAAAAGTTCAGGATCGAATGTCCTTAAGGTTTCGTCAAAGGTCAACATGTCTAAAAAATTATTTTTACAATAGCTCCAAAACTATATGTGGTACAAAGTCAAAACGTTTACAGTTTATAAATATATCATTGAATAATAGATAGAAGTATCACTTGATAACAAATATTTTTAAAAAGATATTTTTTGAAAAAAAAATTGTATAAAAAAAAATGTGCATATTAAAAGAAAAATGTACCTGCTTAATTCTGTCTCTTTTGTGAAAACTAATATATTGTCGAAGTAATATATGTTTATCATTGAAGGACAAGTTGGACGTGAATTGTCTCTGAAAGGCTGTTATTGAAAGCATGATATGTATAAAGACAAGACCCTATAAAATCCGCCATTTGCAATGTACTTTCACTTTTAAATCTTAACACTTGGACAAAATAAATACGGAAAACAACTTTCCAGAGGCTATCCAAGTCCAACTTGCCCTTCATTGATAAACATATTTTGTTTCTGCAATGATGGTTTTCAATAAGAAGGATATGGAGATAACGAATAGTATTCAATCTCAAAGTCCATAAAACAATACAAAATAAGAGCAGAGCAAACACGGACCCCCGAAACATCAGAGGTGGGATCAGGTGTCATGGAGAAGTGAGCATCCCCAGCCGACCGCTCACATCCACCGTTTGTTCCTTGTCATGATCAGGAAATAACGGAAAAAATCCGTCGTCAATTCAATTCCGTGTATAAATAATTGAGTAACAATTGGTATGAAAAACGTCAGTCAGCATTTGACTCAATGATAAATTGTATTTGCTGACAGGGTCATTGTATCGACCATAGAACTCACGAAATGATGACTTTAAACGAAACTGTTGATATTCTTGTTTCATCAACTTGCTTGTCAATAATTTACCTCTTTTTAGAAATTGTTCATACGTAGAGCATGCTCTTGCGTATAAAATCATCTGAGATATATATACTTCGTATGCAGGTGATGAAGGTATATTGCTTCGTAAGTAAGGGAAGATGACTATAGAAAAGTTATAGTCATCACGTTTATCATATAGCTTGGTAGTTAGATTTCCATTACATTTTCAAGTAAAATTTCCAAGTATGAAACAGAAGTGGTGGAGCACGGAATTAATTAGATTTATTTTTTTGAAAATATATGCATTTTTAAGAAGAAATTTTCTCAATTAATATTATTCCAAGTATTTTTTTTTTATCAAAAGATACTTTCTATCTGTTAATCAATGAAAAATTTATAAACTATAAAAGTTTTACCTTTATACCTCACATAGTTTTGGGGCTATTTAAAAATAATTTTTTGGACATGTTGACCTTTGACGAAACCTTAAGGAAGATCTCTACACCTAGGAAGTATGATATTTGTTGCATTTGTTTCTAATAATAGACTCAACATCAAACAGATTAAGGCTCCAACGTATTTCTCTTTATTTTTTGGAAATATTATACAATTATGGACTCTTTTGGTGTTGAATATGGTTTGTTATTCACCAGAAAAATATTCATATTGTCCGAGGCGGAGCCGAGGTCAATATGGATATTTTTCTGGTGAATAACAAACCATATTCAACACCAAAAGAGTCCATAATTGTTTCATTATATAGTCCGAATTTGAATAAATAAGACATTGAAGATTGAATAACGATACCACTTTCATTTACTAACTTCCGTCGTTTAAAAAAAATGCCAAGATTATAGTTTGTCGCCTCCGTGTTTTTCTTTCCGAGTTTCGCCTTGTAAGACGTCCAAATGTTTAAAAATAATTCTGAAATAAGTTTGTATAATATTTTTCCTGCTCAGATACGTAGCTCGCTGTGGCCGTTGCAACCATTGTTTACAACGTTGTTTGAGGTATTGATTATGACGTCACAATGAAGCTGCACGCGCAATGACCCTCCGGTGAATACGGCCACAATTGTTTACAACGTTGTTTAAGGTTTTGATTGTGACGTCACAATGCCGCTGCACGCGCATTGACCCTCCGGTGAATACGGCCTAAAATCCGGTGAATATGTAGTGTTATGAACTGTTTGCGTTTGTATAGATTATATAGGGACAATAAATAGACTATATAATAATTGAAAATATTTAATTTATTTTTTAAAACCCTTAATTCTATATATTTAAGAGCCTTAAGATGTAAATGCTTATTTAAAGTAAAATGTTATAAAATATTGAAATGAAAACCAGGAAAAATTAAAATTGAAATGTACATAATAATTATTTTGATCTAGAAAAGTAGAGAAAAGAAAAAAAAAACTAAAGCAGCATTTTTTGAGAAGAGCTGGATATATTTCATCCAATATCTGAATGAAAATATAATATCGAAGTGTTAAAATGATGAAAAAAATTTAATGAAATTAAAAACTGACAAAATTTCTGTTGTATAATAACAACTAAATACCTTGGCATTGTTTGCTTTTCATATATACATTTCATCTAAATTATTCAAAAACTTGCACAAGCATTGATAAAGAATCAGTAAGTTTATGTTAAACAATGACATCGAAAAATGTTAGTATTGTATAATTTCTCAAATAAATGTAGGCGAATACCCATATATATGCGATATACATGCGTTTATTGGATTCATAGTTTTGAGAAAGTTAGATTTATTTACTTTTTTATCCAACTTGTTTGTGCTTTTATCACAGATGACAGGACATGTAAATGGTTAACAGCAGATAAAAGAAATTTATACAATGAAATCTTCATGTTTTCTATATAAAACAGTTGATAATCAATGTTAAGGTAAATGTTCGGGGTGATTTTTACAACATATTATTTATTAACATAAAACATATACACAATTACAAACACAGTAGGTTCTGACCCGGGTCGACTCCTCGCTCTGTTGCTGTGCCAGACACCTCCGGTCTGTTCGGCATCCACGTGTAGAAGAGGGGGAGCGCGACTTTTCCGCCGTCTGACGTAACACAGACAGGAAGTCGTACCACGGGACAGTCAAACAAATATTAGACTCCCCCTGTTTTCTTTGAAAGGCTGGAGTATATCACAGGAAAGAGGGTCCGAAACCATCTCCATCGTCGGGGCGCTGTAAACGCCATCCCGGGCTAAGTGTCCAAGAATAACAAGCAAGCGCCAGACAAAACCATTTTGAATCCTAATCACAATTCCTACCAGATGGTATGTCCGGGATAATTCCCAGACAACCTTCTATAACTTCTGTTTAACCTACACAGAATGGGCCAAGGTCCCAGGCCCACTCACTATTCAGAAACTGACACCAGTTACACCATCAGGTTCTCGAAGACCA